AGTTAAAAATAGGAGAGGAGAGTTATTAAATGGAGAGTTAGAGGTATTGGGAAGATGGAAGGAATATTTTGAGGAATTGTTAAATGTTGATGAAGATAGGAAGCTGTGATTTCGTGTATAGGGCAAGGAGGAATAACATCTTGTAGGAGTGAGGAAGAGCCAGTTGGTGAGTGTGGGGGAAGTTCGTGAGGCAGTAGGTAAAATGAAAGGGGGTAAGGCAGCCGGGATGATGGGATAAAGATAGAAATGTTAAAAGCAGGTGGGGATATAGTTTTGGAGTGGTTGGTGCAATTGTTTAATAAATGTATGGAAGAGGGTAAGGTACCTAGGGATTGGCAGAGAGCATGCATAGTTCCTTTGTATAAAGGCAAAGGGATAAAAGAGAGTGCAAAAATTATAGGGGATAAGTCTGTTGAGTGTACCTGGTAAAGTGTATGGTAGAGTTATAATTGAAAGAATTAAGAGTAAGACGGAGAATAGGATAGCAGATGAACAAGGAGGCTTATGGAAAGGTAGGGGGTGTGTGGACCAGGTGTTTACAGTGAAACATATAAGTGAACAGTATTTAGATAAGGCTAAAGAGGTCTTTGTGGCATTTATGGATTTGGAAAAGGCGTATGACGGTGGATAGGGGGCAATGTGGCAGATGTTGCAAGTGTATGGTGTAGGAGGTAGGTTACTGAAAGCAGTGAAGAGTTTTTACGAGGATAGTGAGGCTCAAGTTAGAGTATGTAGGAAAGAGGGAAATTTTTTCCCGTAAAAGTAGGCCTTAGACAAGGATGTGTGATGTCACCGTGGTTGTTTAATATATTTATAGATGGGTTGTAAGAGAAGTAAATGCGAGGGTCTTGGCAAGAGGCGTGGAGTTAAAAGATAAAGAATCACACACAAAGTGGGAGTTGTCACAGCTGCTCTTTGCTGATGACACTGTGCTCTTGGAGATTCTGAAGAGAAGTTGCAGAGATTGGTGGATGAATTTGTAGGGTGTGCAAAAGAAGAAATTAAAGGTGAATACAGGAAAGAGTAAGGTTATGAGGATAACAAAAAGATTAGGTGATGAAAGATTGAATATCAGATTGGAGGGAGAGAGTATGGAGGAGGTGAACGTATTCAGATATTTGGGAGTGGACGTGTCAGCGGATGGGTCTATGAAAGATGAGGTGAATCATAGAATTGATGAGGGAAAAAGAGTGAGTGGTGCACTTAGGAGTCTGTGGAGACAAAGAACTTTGTCCTTGGAGGCAAAGAGGGAATGTATGAGAGTATAGTTTTACCAACGCTCTTATATGGGTGTGAAGCGTGGGTGATGAATGTTGCAGCGAGGAGAAGGCTGGAGCAGTGGAGATGTCATGTCTGAGGGCAATGTGTGGTGTGAATATAATGCAGAGAATTCGTAGTTTGGAAGTTAGGAGGAGGTGCGGGATTACCAAAACTGTTGTCCAGAGGGCTGAGGAAGGGTTGTTGAGGTGGTTCGGACATGTAGAGAGAATGGAGCGAAACAGAATGACTTCAAGAGTGTATCAGTCTGTAGTGGAAGGAAGGCGGGGTGGGGGTCGGCCTGGGAAAGGGGTTTGGGGAGGAGGGGGTAAAGGAGGTTTTGTGTGCGAGGGGCTTGGACTTCCAGCAGGCATGCTTGAGCGTGTTTGATAGGAGTGAATGGAGACAAATGGTTTTTAATACTTAAACGTGCTGTTGGAGTGTGAGCAAAGTAACATTTATGAAGGGATTCAGGGAAACCGGCAGGCCGGACTTGAGTCCTGGAGATGGGAAGTACAGTGCCTGCACTCTGAAGGAGGGTGTTAATGTTGCAGTTTTAAAAACTGTAGTGTAAAGCACCCTTCTGGCAAGACAGTGATGGAGTGAATGATGGTGAAAGTTTTTCTTTTTCGGGCCACCCTGCCTGGTGGAATCGGCCGGTGTGATAATAATAAATATATATATATATATTATATATATATATATATAATATATATATATATATATATTAATATATATATATATATATATATATATATATACTATTGTGACTACGAACGAGTGGTACTGATCAATAACAACACTGCCACTAGCCAAGGACTCGAACCCATGCTGCTTTGGCCTCCCTCATGGTGGGCGAAAACACATGAAGCCATATATATATATATATATTATATATAAAATATATAATTTTATATATATATATTTTATATATATATATATATATATATATATTAAATATATAGATGCAGTAATGTAATGTTCCCTATTATGAAAATAATTACTAAAACGGTGATGTGAATTACGAAGCATAAATATAGTGACAACAGTCAAAAATTCCTCTATGTACTTCTCACCATTGGACATTCTCACCAAGAAGACATTTTAACTACGGTAGTCTTTCACAATTTTCATTATGTATCTCCTTTAGTGTGTGACTTATAAAAAGAGAATAAAATAAGCTTTCGAAAAGAAAAAACTGATAACAGTTCAACAGAAATGTGATAATAACAGGAGCAGGAGTCTGTGGCGAGAAGCACACGCACCTGTAGGGAGACGCGGCTCCTCCTGGCACTCCTCCTCCAAGATCAGGCAAGAGCGTCTTGGCCGCTTCTTCTGTCTTCAACGTCGACCATTGTTTCGACCATAACATCTGCAATGAAACAACTTATTCAGAATGGTGATTTCTTAAAGAAAACTACAGAAGTGCCAGAAAATGAGGAACACTGCATCTCAACCAACTCCCATACATTATTATAAGTGAGAAGCGTCAGGCCTTGAGGAATCACACAACGGCAGGAAAAAAGTTATTGGATTCGGTTCAAGGAAGGGGGGGAGGTAGGCCTAATTCCTTTGATAATGAGCTCATCAGTAGCGTCAGGGTAACCCATTCATCCGTCCTTCGAAGATTAAATGGTCAAAAACAAGACGTTAAGAAAATAAAGAACCAAACCTCTGTAACTCTAAAATATGAAATATAATTCATTCTGACTACATGCACTACTAAGGCACTGCTAGACGCATTACACAGGTACAGCCAAGGCACTCTTAGACCCATTACACAGGTACATACTGGCACATTCCAAGCGGGTAGTAAAAATGAATTATTCACACCTCAAACACAACTATTCCCCGAATATCCTTCAAGAGTAAGAAATGATTTTCGATAAGAACACATAACCAAGAAGAGCAGGTTAAACAATGGTGAAGGTCAGTGTGGCAGGCAGCACGAGGTCTTACACAGTCTTCTTTGATTATGATTATACCTGGTGTTTACTTTGTGGCATAGTGGTAATGTGTCTCACTCCTGCCCCATACCCATGGGCTCCCTTTGTTACGGTGGCCCAATGTGTCACTCCTGCCTCACATCCCGTGTCATGGTGGCCCTGTGTGTTCCTCCTGCTTTACACCCTGTATCATGGTGGCCCCGTTTGTCCCTCCTGCCTCACACCCCGTGTCATGGTGGCCCCGTGTGTCCCTCTTGCCTCACAACCCGTGTCATGGTGGCTTCGCGTGTCCCTCCTGCCTCACATCCCGTGTCATGGTGGCCCTGTGTGTTCCTCCTGCTTTACACCCTGTATCATGGTGGCCCCGTTTGTCCCTCCTGCCTCACACCCCGTGTCATGGTGGCCCCGTGTGTCCCTCCTGCCTCACAACCCGTGTCATGGTGGCCCCGTGTGTCCCTCCTGCCTCACACCCCGTGTCATGGTGGCTTCGCGTGTCCCTCCTGCCTCACACCCCGTGTCATGGTGGCCCTGTGTGTTCCTCCTGCTTTACACCCTGTATCATTGTGACCCCGTGTGTTCCTCCTGCCTCACACCCCGTGTCATGGTGGCCCCGTGTGTCCCTCCTGCCTCACACTAATATACCATTTGGAATCACGAATTCATTTTTTATTGTTTAGGCAACTCACTACCTCAATATCCAATTTATATTCATACTAAGGTATTAGTGTGACCCTTTAGCCGTGACGCCTGGCATGGCTGCTTGCTCTCTCTCTCTCTCTCTCTCTCTCTCTCTGTCTCTGTCTCTCTCTCTCTCTGTCATTGTGTCTGTCTCATATTATATATATATATTATATATATATATATAATATATATATATATATATATATAATATATATATATATATAGTATATATAATAGAGACAGACACAATGACAGAGAGAGAGAGACAGGATAGGTAAAACTGGTCAATTAGCAAGGAATCATTTAAAATTAAGCCCTTTCTAAAATTTTCTCTTATGTGTATAAAGATATATTTTTTTCATTTCTCATAATGTAAAAATTAATAATTTTGTACCTAAAGAACCTAAGAAAACTTACCTAACCATATTATAACAAGCGCAATTTAATTTAGCCTAATCCAGCTAAATATATTTTAGACAAGTTTACACTAATTCAGCAATAAACATACACAATGAAATGTTTTTTTTGGGGTTAGGCTTAGAATAATTTTTGCGAAATTATTGCATACACAAATTTTCGCTTGCCTTATTCGGCAAAAAGACCGCTGCTACTTAAGCCAAAATCGCAAGTTTTACCTATTCGGCAAAACATATATATCATAATTGTGTTTGTGAATAAGCGTACTTAGACGAAGCAGTAGACGATATTTCGCCGGGAGACTGAGAGAATTTCTTTTAGCGCGGCAATTAAGTCATAAGATGACCTGTTCAAGTGAAGCTTTTGTTCTCACGATTGACAACTTAGGCTGGTTTACAGCTGCACTCCTCAACAAATTATCACATATGACAATTTTCTCCACACTAAGAATACAGCGTAGAGCCTCATCATTTATTACAGGTGACGCACTCTTGCTGTAGCCTGTAATGTATCTTGTTTTAGGGTGGGGGACTGTATGGCTGTAAACTTTAGCCCGTGCCATGTTGATTCTTAAATTTATTTGTAATTTTATAGGGCGTAAAATGTTCTTAACTTTGGTCTCACTGTTGATAATTTAACTTATAATATACTAACAAAGGCAAAAGTTAGAAGCTAACAAATGTGTAGCTTGGACTAACTCAACAAAGGCTGACTCAACAAAGGTATAACTTAGGCTGACTCAACGAAGGTATAACTTAGGCTGACTCAACAAAGGTATAACTTAGGCTGACTCAACAAAGGTATAACTTAGGCTGACTCAACAAAGGCATAACCTAGGCTGACTCAACAAAGGTATAACCTAGGTGGACTCAGCAACCTAGGGTAACGCAGCAAAATCTACCAAACTCAGCAAGCAATGCACAGAGTCTCTTTCTTCCCTTCCTGCAACTCTACGAAGTACTCCGTAGCTCTAACTTTAGGTCTCCTTTGTACTCTTAATGGCTTTGAGATAACGAGGCCTCGACAAGTGTGCGGAAGATATTTGACGCCTGGTTGCAGAGGACAGTGGATTACTGCAACATCTAGATTACTCTACCCTGATGCTATCTTAGTACTGATCCCTAAATCTGAGTACAATTAGTTAGAAATTGTGAAGCTGTGATTCATCTTCAACTGTATCACTCTGTCACTCGTTTTTTTTCATCTCAATTTTTTTTTTTAGTTCGTCCTTACTAACGCATGTTATTCTTCCCTCCTCCGCATCTTGTCTACGTATAGTACCCGTATTCCACACATTGTCTAAATTGCTTCCCTACACTTTGACTGTGTGTTCATCACACATATTTCAAGAATACATCTGACTATATTATCGTTGGTAACATTTTCTTTGTTCAGATATTTTGTAAGAGCAAAGTACACTTTTGTGACGGAGTAATCTATAAGGCAGTGTAAGAGCCAGGTACAGTGTCTTATATCCCTGACTGATAAACACTGTTATCTGTAGAGGAGCATTATCCTGGCATTAGGTTTTTCTTAAAGATTTCACAATCATTCACCTGACAGGCAAGACTCAAGGGATATTTTTTGATGTTCCACTGGGGTTTCCGTTCAAATGAATTTCACTGTAGTGAAAAAAAAAACATACCACGGGTGTGGATTGAACTCGTGGCGAGTGAGTGTTATGGCTTTTTGCAAATGTGTCATCACGATTTTGCGAGTCACTGAAGTGAATTTTTTACTCTTTCAATTTTTATGTTACATCCCAGTAACATTACTTCATATGAAAAGAATAGCTTACGCTGTTTCATAATTCTTTCTCCTATATGTGGGGCCCGTTACCTCCTCTTACAACAATATTCAAATTTTCCTGAGATGCAGACAATAGTGAGGGAACCAACATATTTCCTGGAGGAACTCCACACGATTTCGTAAAAAAGTTACGATTCGGTACTTACTGAATTTATTTTCTGTTGTTGAGGGAAGACCTAAACAGGTCGCTTTTTTTTTAAGTATGTCATAATTTACTGTGTTCAATGACTCTGTAATATTGGGATCCTGATGTAGTCCGTAAGATGTATTAACAAAGTGTTAAAGTTGTCCTGAAATCTGACTGGTAACAATGTAAATTTTTATTTTAATTACTGTTCCACTTATGAGTTAACAACTCTCTAGGATTTCAGACTCAATGCACTAACATATTTATGGTCGTTGACTTTATTACGTGTATGACTTGAGCTGCAAGAGGTGAATACAGTGATTCACCTCAGTCACCATTCCTTAGGAACTTAGCTGGAATATCATCAAGCTTCGTAATTTTGTTAGGATATATTTTATTAAGCCTATCATATACATAACCCATCATTTGGTGTTGATAGCAAATACTAAAGTCACCATTTTTTTTAAACTATCCTAGTAAAATTATGTAATAAATATCGATGGATGGGTGAAGCACTTCCAGTCAACATGGGTTTAGTTTTAGGCAACATCGGTTCAAAACACAAATTCCCCAGATTATCATCGTATAACTCCGGGCTTGGATTGTAAACCAATTTATTTCCTATATAGGCACACAGACCATTTCAACATTATCGCTTAGAGGTATTGAGCCAAAAGCAAAGTGAATTGATGGAGATATATGAGAGAATAGTGGTAATAATCGCTGTGGATGTGAAAGCTTTTGGTGTGTGTCAAGTCGTTGATTATGACAAAGTGCGGGTGGTGGGGGAGTCCGTGTTTTCCGTGGCTTGCTTTATTACAGCGTTGCGTCAGCTAACTCATTATTTGGCATTGATTCGCGCGTGAGAACCATGGGAGGGTAACACATAAGTGTGTAGCTTTGACATGAACTTAAGTGCATGTAGTGTACGTAGCGTTGACACACTGCTGGAGAAGTGTTCTTACACTACTCCATGTCATTACGCACTCACCCCCCCCCCCACTGACCTAAACATTGACACGAGTCTGAGCTCAGAGTCGATCGTCAAGTGATTTACCTCAATGGAGGTGCAACACGCGCCCAAATGTTGCCTATAAAAACCGGAATGGTTTTTAAGTGTCATTTCGTTTTAATTTGTGATATTTTATGGTGAGTTGCTGCTGAGTTATTCACGAGATTTTGTGTACAGTCTAGTTTACCAATAGGCACAGTGTGTGTGTGTGTGTGTGTGTGTGTGTGTGTGGTGTGTGTGTGTGTGTGTGTGTGTGTGTTAGTTGCTTACATGCAGATGATTTGTGATCGCCAACAGATATCATGAGTGATGTGCTAACGTCATCTTTTATACGGAGTGAAGTTTGCGAGTTCTTGACGAGTCTGTAAGCAGCAGCACTAGTAGAACTGTGCCAACCAGGCGAGAAGGGGCAGAAGGAGAGTGGCACTGTGTCAAACAGGCAAGTAGGGGCGGAGGACGGGCGGCACTATGTTATACAGGCCAGTAGAGGCGGAGGAGGGGTGGCACTGTGTCATACAGGCCACTATGGGCGGGGGGAGGTAGAGGTATACACACTTGGTGAGGTACACTTGGCACTGTATTATATAGGTAAGGGACCGAGGGAGATGAGGGAGGGAGTAGTGACACTTGATCATATAGTAACAGTTGGATGGAGTACTGGAGGTAATGGACGAAACGAAGGGAACAAGAAATGGGTGGGAGGGAAGGTTTAATGTAAGAGTGACGACTCTGGTCCATACATGTTAAGAGGGATGGTGAACGTCAAGCATCCAAGCTGAGGAAGAGGTGATGACACTGCACCATGAGAATAAAGGGAGGGTAGAAGAAGCGAGGGAGAGGTAAGGGCACTGGACCATGTACTCAGCAAGAGGGAGGGAGGAGTAGTGACACTAAATCATGTAGGTGGAGAGAAGGAAGGAGGGAGAGACAACATGGTAGAAAGAAGGAAGGTCAGTCGGGAGTAAGACTAGGATATTAGGATGGTAAAGAAGGTGAACTAGGACAAGATGGAGAGGAAAAGGAAGGGTAGGAGAGAAAGTAGGAAGAATAGAAGGGAGGGAGGCGAAAATGAAGAGCAAAAGTGAAGGAGAAACGGCAAGAAGAAGGCGGGAAAGACGGAGGACAAGAAAGGGATAAGGAAAGCCTCGGCACCGTGACGGTCCAGGACTCACCATCACCAGTGCCACCATCACCAGTGCCACCATCACCAGTGCCACCATCACCAGTGCCACCATCACCACCACCACCATCAGTACCACCACCACCACCCTCACTACCAGTACCACTACCACCACCATAACCCCCACCAACACCATCACTACCACACCACCACCATCACTACTGCCAGTACCACTACCATCACTACCACCACCACTGGTACCAGTACCAGTACCAGTACCACTACCATCACCACCACCCCCACTACTACCACCACCACCACCAGCGCCATAAACCAAAATGTCTGCGCCATAACTCCGGGCGCTACGATCCCAGCGCAAATAAAAGCGGGAGGAGGACCGCGCGAAGACAAATAAAAGGGACCGTAACTTGGCCATAAATCAGCTGCCCCAACAAATTGAGATTGGCACGGGGCCTCTTGGAATTTCAGAGCAGGTAATAAGGCCTCTCATTGGCTATCACGTGACCGGGAATATGATCCAAGAGGTCTGATTGGCCGCCTTTGACCGGAGCCTCATATCAAGAATTGACCAATAGGATTACAAATAGCCCCCTCCCCGCCAGGGGGCTTATGGAAGATATAGACGCCTTTGTTTGGGTGATTTGGAGCGCCAAGGTATAATAAATCTATTTTATTGCTCAATTTTGTTGTAGGACATCTGAGCTTCCACCATTTTCTTCAAGACGGTGGAATAAGACTCCTTTGTCTTGGGGTCCTAAAAAGAAGCCGCTAAGTCGATGTCAGAGCCCGGACGGTCAGTCTTGAAAAGGCGTTTTCTGTTTGTCTTTAAAAGGAAACAAATTGTTCCCATTCAAATTCGACAAGTTAAGAGGTCCCGTGGGTATGTTACCTGCTTGTGTAATGCTGCCAAGGATTGTCACTCACAGACGTATCTTCTGCCCACATATTGCTCTCTCACCAATCCCATTGCCCCTCTAATATATATATATATATATATATATATATATATATATATATATATATATATATATATATATATATATATATATATATATATATACATATATACATATATACTCTTAAAATTCCTTACATTTTAACTACTAGTGCTGTACCACTACTACTGCTGCTGCTGCTACAATTAAAACAACAACTGATAATAAAAGCAATAATAATAATAGTAATAATAATAATAATATATAATAATATGATAATATATAATAATAATAATTATAATAATAATAATAATAATAAATATTAGATACTATTACTACTACGACTCTTACTATTGCTACTAATTTTACGACTGTCACTACTGCTATTGCTTTTTACTACAACAAATACTACTGATGCTACTATTATTACTACTGTTACTAGTCGTAACTATACTGTCAACACCACAACAGTGTGTCCACTGCCAGGAGTTTAGAACTATCTCACTAGAGACGAGACGAACATACATCGGTGAATTAAACTTACGTTAGTGTAGAGAGGATCAGTGTTATACTGTGTTCTTTGACGCTTGAGATCATCTTCGTGGTGTTCATTTATGTCTCGGTGTTCGTCTGCAAGAAGAACCAACTCTGTTATGACTGGGTAGCCACACTGAACTGTTGATTGTGGTAAGGGAGAGAACACTGTTATGACTGGGTGAACACAATGAACTGGTTTGTGTGTGTGTGTGTGTGTGGTGAGGAGCAGAACACTGTTATGAATGTGTGAACACAATGAACTGTTTACTGTGGCAGAAAAGAGAACACTGTTATGACTGTGTGAACACAATGAACTGTTGCCTGTGGCAGAGAAGAGAACACTGTTATGACAGTGTGAACACAATGAACTGCTGACTGTGGCAAAGAAGAGAACACTGTTACATTTGAGTGAAGACAATTGTTAATTGTGACAAGAAAGAGAACGCTATTATAATTGGGTGAACACAATTACTGACTGTGGTAAGGAAGAGAACACTTGTAACTGGGTGAACACAATTATTGATTGTTACAAGAAAGAGAACACTGTTGCATCTGGGTGAACACCATTGTTAATTGAGGTAAGGGAGAGAACACAGTTATGACTGGGTGAACACAATGAACTGTTGACTGTGGCAAGAAAGAGAACAAGTATGTTGACTGAGTGGTGACTCTGAACGTCTGCTCTGAGTGGTGACTCTGAACTTCTGCTCTGAGTGTTAAGCTCTCTTATGGACGGACCAACAACTCTGCTTATCTCTTGACTGTTGTAAATAACACAGCCGTGATATGACTAGATAGCCACTCTTAATTTCTGACTGTTCTACGGTATAGGCATGTAGAAAGTGTACAGGTGCACAGATGGTGTCCAGGTTGTATCCAGGTGGTGTACAGGTGGCGTACAGGTGGTGTGTTGGGAGACAAAATGATAATAACACAGAAAGAAATGTTTATATTATTATATTATTGCACAAATGTTTATTTTAGGTTTATCAAAGAAGTCTGGACTTATATACATCTTAAATATACATTACTAAATCTAATAGCTCTCACAAACTCTTTCTCATCTCTCTCTCTCTGTCTCTCTCTCTCTCTCTCTTCTCTGTCTCTCTCTCTCTCTCTCTCTCTCTCTCTCTCTCCATCTTATTTTTAAAATAATGAAAGTTAAATACAGAATTCGTGTATATGTGTGTGTGTGTGTGTGTGTGAGAGAGAGAGAGAGAGAGAGAGAGAGAGAGAGAGAGAGAGAGAGAGAGAGAGAGAGAGAGAGAGAGAGAGAGAGAGAGAGAGAGAGAGCTATCCAGCAAACACACAAGAGCGACACTCCCTGTGACACAAGGCTTGCAAGCCATTTTAAACTAGCAATAATTCATCTTGTATATTGTAATCGTCTTAATCTCTCGCTTCTGGGTTTCCTTAATGGCTTTTGATGGGCCGGGAGTGTTTTGCTGGGGTGGGTTGGGGTAGGTGGTCGGGGGGGGGGATTCTGGGGGTATGGGGATTGCCTGGGGGTGTTCTGGATGACGAGGGAAGGGAGGGGAATGTGGCTTGGGAGAATCTGAGGGGGAAGGTAGGAGGTTGTGGGTAGTGAGTTAGGGAAGCACTGGGGGGTTGGGGGAGGCTAGGTAGGGGGTGGTGAAAGCGTGGCACTCATCAGGTTGTCAGGGCAAGTTTGTGATGGTGATGATGTGTGTAATTCGACCTTAAGGGCTGATGCTGTGGCCTGGCATGCTCTTCGTCCCAGTGTGTGTGTGTGTGTGTGTGTGTTTACATTTTGCCTATATTAAGAGACACTCACTAGTACCCGTCAGAGCTAGCAATACTCGCTAGTACCCGTCAGAGCTAACAACACTCACTAGTACCCGTCAGAGCTAGCAATACTCGCTAGTACCCGTCAGAGTTAACAACACTCACTAGTACCCGTCAGAGCTAGCAATACTCGCTAGTACCCGTCAGAGCTAACACTCACTAGTACCCGTCAGAGCTAGCAATACTCGCTAGTACCCGTCAGAGCTAACACTCACTAGTACCCGTCAGAGCTAGCAATACTCGCTATTACCCGTCAGAGCTAGCAACACTCACTAGTACCCGTCAGAGCTAGCAACACTCACTAGTACCCGTCAGAGCTAGCAACACTCACTAGTACCCGTCAGAGTTAGCAACACTCACTAGTACCCGTCAGAGTTAGCAACACTCACTAGTATCCGTCAGAGTTAGCAACACTCACTAGTATCCGTCAGAGCTAGCAATACTCGCTAGTACCCGCAGAGAGATATATCATAATCTACACTTGGAAAATCTTGGAAGGAATGGTCCCAAATCTGCACACAGAAATCACTCCCTACGAAAGTAAAAGACTGGGCAGGCGATGCAAAATGCCCCCAGTAAAAAGTAGGGGCGCCATTGGTACACTAAGGGAAAACACCATAAGTGTCCGGGGCCAAAGACTGTTCAACAGCCTCCCATCAAGCATTAGGGGAATTGCCAATAAACCCCTGGCTGCCTTCAAGAGAGAGCTGGACAGATACCTAAAGTCAGTGCCGGATCAGCCGGGCTGTGGCTCGTACGTTGGACTGCGTGCGGCCAGCAGTAACAGCCTACTTGATCAGGCCCTGATCCATAGGGAGGCCTGGTCATGGACCGGGCCGCGAGGGCGTTGATCCCCGGAATAACCTCCAGGTAACCTCCAGAGTTAGCAACACTCGCTAGCACCCGTCAGAGCTAGCAACACTCGCTAGCACCCGTCAGGGCTAGCAACACTCGCCAGTACCCGTCAGAGCCAGCAACACTCGCTAGTACCCGTCAGAGCTAGCAATACTCGCTAGTACCCGTCAGAGCTAGCAACACTCGCTAGTACCCGTCAGAGCTAGCAACACTCGCTAGCACCCGTCAGAGCTAGCAACACTCGCTAGCACCCGTCAGAGCTAGCAACACTCGCTAGCACCCGTCAGAGCAAACAAAACTCACTAGCACCCGTCAGAGCTAGCAACACTCGCTAGCACCCGTCAGAGCTAGCAACACTCGCTAGCACCCGTCAGAGCTAGCAACACTCGCTAGCACCCGTCAGAGCTAGCAACACTCGCTAGCACCCGTCAGAGCTAGCAACACTCGCTAGCACCCGTCAGAGCTAGCAACACTCGCTAGCACCCGTCAGAGCTAGCAACACTCGCTAGCACTCGTCAGAGCTAGCAACACTCGCTAGCACCCGTCAGAGCTATCAACACTCGCTAGCACCCGTCAGAGCTAGCAACACTCGCTAGCACCCGTCAGAGCTAGCAACACTCGCTAGCACCCGTCAGAGCTAGCAACACTCGCTAGCACCCGTCAGAGCTAGCAACACTCGCTAGCACCCGTCAGAGCTAGCAACACTTGCTAGCACTCGTCAGAGCTAGCAACACTCGCTAGCACCCAGTCAGAGCTATCAACACTCGCTAGCACCAGTCAGAGCTAGCAACACTTGCTAGCACCCGTCAGAGCTAGCAACACTCGCTAGCACCCGTCAGAGCTAGCAACACTCGCTAAGGACCTCCAAAATACGCGACGCTCACTAGTAATCGCCCAAGTTAGAGGCACTTGCTAACTCCCGCTGAAGTTAGAAACACCGGTTAAAGTTAGCGACAGCTGCTAACATCACGAAACACAAGACCAGCTCTACCAAAATAACACGAGAGAAAGAAAGAGAGAGAGAGAGAGAGAGAGAGAGAGAGAGAGAGAGAGAGAGAGAGAGAGAGAGAGAGAGAGAGAGAGAGAGAGAGAGAGAGAGAGAGAGAGAAACTCATCCGACTCCCGTAATAACACTATGGGAGCAGCCAGCCAGTCAACCAGCTAGACACTACCATGTTAATGCGTTGGTGGCAGCCAGCCATACCAGCCAGCCAGCCAAACTAACCAGCCAGTCAGCCAGCCAGCCAGATAGCCACCTCTACAACGGCGTGAGTGAATTCCTAATCAAAATGATAATCACCACACTATGGAGGGGCCAGATTAGAAACAGCAGAGGTTGGTGAATGTCACAGGCGTCTCCAGGGAACTGGATCACAAAGCACGCCAGAAAATGGAGGGTAGCTGCTATTAGATTAGGGCTGTCTGGCACTTCTCAGCACTGCTGCCACCAGCCCCCTCCATGGCACCACTCCTGCCTGCAACCCAGGGGAAGGCAGGCAGGGGTGACAAGAGAGAGAGAGAGAGAGAGAGAGAGACTAGGACTAATAAAGATAAGGGAGGAGTGGTAGGGAAGAGGACGAAAGGGAAAGGGAGAGATGGAGGGTGGTGAGGGAGGGATATAAAAAGAGAAAGGGTAAAAGATGAAAGCACGATGGGAAATAATAAATGGAGGAGGTGATGGGGGAGGAAGGAAACACAGCTGAAGGCAGGAGGGGGAGGGAAGCACAGGAGGAAGAGGAGGAGGCTAGAAGTATAGAAGGGCAGGAGGGAAACACAGAAGAAAGGAAGGAATCATAACCGACTAAAGAGAAACACAAAATGAAGGAGGAGAACGAGGAAGAGAGGGAGTGACTGGAGTTAAAGCATGCATGAGAGAAACTGGTAGAGGTTTAAACAAGCATGTGTATAAACACACACATAAAAAAGATATGTCAAAACGAGATATACGAACAGGTGTACAGTCTGTCGTGCTCGCGACGCTCACCATAATACAGATGTTGACAACTGCCAACAGGTGTTCATACCTAATAATTACACAAACAAATATTCTACTGAACTAAGTCCAACTGCATCAGTTCCATACCTCAATTTATCGGAAATATCAATTTAATCTGAACACGACAGCTGGCGCCAGACTCAACATAATCATCTTAAACCATCATAAGCGAGAACAATGGCTGTCGGTTCTTATCGTCGTCAGATCATCCAAGGTCAGGTGTGGCCCATTCATGGTCAGGTTAATGCTGCTCAGAGTATACCACATCGTGGTCCAGATTAACGCGTACCACCAGAAAGGTAGTCACTGCCTGTGTCTCCTACCACCAGGAAGGTAGTCATTGACTGTGTCTCCTACCACCAGGAAGGTAGTCACTGACTGTATCTACTACCACCAGGAAGGTAGTCACTGACTGTGTCTACTACCACCAGGAAGGTAGTCATTGACTGTGTCTCCTACCACCAGGAAGGTAGTCATTGAC